TACTGTTCTGTGGCTAATTGGTACGCATAGTATCAACGATCAAACGACTTCAAAAGAACCAAGTATTAAAGATCACAAGGTCAAATCAAAGATTTCATTTTTGCGAAACAATTTTGGACAATTTTGTCTGGGACATGAATGTCTGGTACATCTTTCTAACTTCGGACTGTTTTGTCAAGGACGCAAATGTCTGGGACACAACTGTCCATGCGCCGTTGAAAACACGAGACTGTGGAGCTTGTTGTAGATGTTTCGATAAAAACTTAAACGAATTTAATTAACAACTAATTATCAACTTTAAAAAATTAATTAATCAACTTTTTCCGAAATTTTTGCAGCCTGAGTTTTTTTCCAAAACTCGCTAGAAAAATAAATTTTTATAATTCTAATAAGATAAAAATGTGCTAGTTTCAATTTGGTTTTATTTACGATTCAGAACATCTTCAGGCTTAATGAAAAACCTGATAGCATTTAGAAAAAAATCATACAGATATGAGTCTGTAATTTTTAGTTAAAAGCCACAAACTTATATCTTGTTACAATAAACTGCATTCATTTTAAAATGAACAAAAAAAGAACAAAAAAACTCTACATGTTGGAGGAACATTTGTAAATTTTTGCCCAAACATCCATGAAAGTCCAACAAACCAACTTTCTGGCTTTTGATCGAAACTTTTTGCAAAAATCTAGCAAAATTTTTAAAGAAATTGATAAGAAGTCGCTAATTCTGCATTATTACGAAAACATGATCAAACTAGGGAAAGAGGTAAATTTGCTAAAATAAGGACGATGCGTTACCTCGAAGTTTTTCTATAACAAAGAAAATATTTCAAAATTTGTAGAGTTAGGAAATGTTTTTATAAAAAATTTGAAGGTTTCTATGAAGTTGCAATTTAAGATTGGAAAATGTTGAGAGGGTTTCTAGTTTTTTGAATTGCGGATGATTTTTTTCAACTGAAATAGGAAACTCTTCTTTGTATGAGTGTTTTTGTGTTGTATCAGATTTCTTATGATGCTTGAATTTGTTCCGGATTGTTTTGTGTTACATTTCGTATTTGTTTTGACAGATGTCCCTCCGAGTATAGGTTTGTACGGAGTTGCAATAGAGGACGGATAAAATGAAATAGATTTTGAGATATGGAAGTTTTTGTGGAATAAAAATCAAACTACATTAGAAAAGTTTTTGAGCTAATTTTGATGCTTTTTGAAATACAGATGACTAAAAACGTCGCACTTTCTAGGACTGTAATTTGAAATTTGTATTTTTTTTGAAAACTTTTTAACCGGACAAATTAGGACTTTCAAACATTTTTTTTTGCTCATTAAATAATTCAAAACAAGTTCTTGGTTTTTACTGAGCAAGAAAAATACTAAGCTTTTCTTGTTTGTACGTTTTGTTTTCATGGTATAGTAGCCACTTACAAAATAAAGGCAATTTTCAACTTTAATCTTAAAATGTGCTGCTCTCATTTAACAAATTTTGAGATGAAAAAGTTTTTTATAACAATTTTCGAAACTTCATTTTATATTAAAATTTATCACAAAAAGATTTTTTTCTCGTTTTTTTCTCGAGGTATCGCTGCCTTCAACTGATCTACGAATAAGTGCTATTTTATACTGAACTTATATTAATTAATCGAAAAGGTGCAGAGTGTATCACTAACTAAAAATTTACGTCATGAAATTTTTATGTTTTGTAAATTCACAAAACTTTCAGCTTGCCGTACTTAGATGTTTTCATACAAGACTGAATTTTTTAATTTAAATGTTCTTATAACTTTTTTTTTCAAAATATTTCAAAACTCTTTAATTTTATGTGAATTTTTACTGCTGTTTCTTAGTTTTCTTCAGTATAATTTGCTTTGTTAAACATGAGTTCAAACTAAAAATTTTGTGCAATGAAAGCATTCAGTTTTCAAAGCATCAACATTTAATAATTTATTGAACTTTTTTAAGTTGCAAGTCTAGGCTTAAAAATATCAGCTAATTTAAAAAAAAATCTTTTTTTCCACAAGTGGTTCAAAAGGACTCCTTATGGGGAAATAATTGGAAACAGGATTTAGCTGGAGGCGAATGATCTCACTGAACACACTATTTCTATCATATGATGATTCACTCAAAAACAACAGAACCTCCGGGAAAATATCTGTCATTCCGCAAGTTTTGGATTAAAAAAAATATGGCTCATCCCTAGACCTATAGAATTATGGTCTATACCGACCAAAAAAGTCGCCAAAATTTTTTAGAAAATCATTACTATTTGTTGGCTATTGTTTTACAGTGACCTACAATTTAACTCCCCTGCCTTTTGACACCTTGCCAGATGATTGTTTAATGAGTTTGATCTTCGAACTACTTCAAAAAGACTTGAAATGATGTAAAAATGAAAAACAAATCCAATAATAAAATTACAAATTAAACAATTTGCATTCGCAATTTTGTTTTTGTTTTCTTGCATAACAGCAGATTTTTAATTTAAAAAAATCAAAAAATTACCAAACTGATCAAATTTAGGCGCAACATTGAAACAATGATTTTCAATTTTTTTGATCTCAGCCCTATTATCAGCACAAACTCAAAATCGTATTACTGAATGCTTAACAAAAATATTCCAATAAAATTAAGGAAATTGCTGAGAAAAAAAAACGAATTTTGAACACAAAATTTTAAAGAACAGCCAAAAAATTTCTAAATAAATTTACAAAATTGCCTATTCTAAATCAAATTTCGGCCAAAAATTTACTAATAAAGAATCAGTGAGTAGGTGCGAAGATTTACGCACAAACGATTGTAAACGACAAATTTGACACACAAATTTAATGATGCTTAGTAGTATCATTTTTTCAGACCAAACGCACCAAAAGAATTGGAAATATGACAAAGTTACGCTATATAATTTAGGTTGTGGTCACAAATATAAATCATGAAATTGTGAGAAAGACAACAAAATGATTTTTGGCATGCTTACTTAAATTTTTCCTGATTTTTTCCAAGATACTATTAAGTGTTTCTGATTCGAATGAAAACTTTTTCGAAATAAAATTACTGATTATCTTCTGAATTCTACGATTTTGGGAATAACTTCAAAAAACTGCGACGGAGAGTTATACAATGTGACAATATCAGTTTTACAATTCCATGGTTAGAAAACATTCTTAACTATATCTGTCAAATACAGTAAAACATTTTCAGTCAAACCAATTTTTGATTGATTATACTGACTTTAATTGATATGTTTAATTGATTGCATTTGAGAAAATATTTTAAAAAAAAACTATCAAAAAATACGTTTGAATTGATTTAAAATTGACATGAGTTGACTTATAATTGAGATGAAACGAATGAGTTCTACCCAATTGAGATTGAATTTTTTTTTGTAAAACAATGCTAATATCTAAAGAAAAAATTGCTTAAATCGAGACAAAACCTTAAATATCCCAGCTGCGCTTTAGAGCCATTTTGAAAAAAATTTATTTTGATACAAGAGAAAAAAAATATATTATTTCTTTTTCTTATTTAATCCTTAAACAGGTGAATTTAGCGTCTCGTATCCTTAAATTATACCAAGTTACTTGCATCAATGCAATTTGGAATAATTTTCCAAAGAAGGCGTTTTTAGGCACTTTTTGGAAAATTTTTACCTAAAAATTGCGTTTTTTCGGCGCGCTCCCCCGCGAAATTAGTATCCCAAAATAGTACCAAAGGGGGATCCTTTGGGTCGGCACAGGGTCGAATCCCTGAGGGGGAGGGGCGCTCGCACCCCCGCCCCCCTTAAATCCGCCCCTGTATGTATTTATCGCTCTTATTTTTACCATTTATTGAATCATTCTAAGATTGTTTAGAAGCCAGCCTGGATTTACATTGTTGATTTGTGAACTTTTATCAAAAAGCATGGATTCTTTAGCCTCCGGGTCATGTTAACAAATTTACATGTTTGCCAAAAGGCAAAAAAATCATGGAAAAGTTGCACTCAGCTAAAGTAATGTATATGTATAGAGCTTCAAAGCCCTTAGGGGTGCAAATGTTGCCTTAAAGTGTCTCTGTGAGCTTATTTTTTTCTAGGAATCACTCCATGTGCATTTAATTACCTGCCAACGGTAATGAAGCAGAAGTAGTTGAGCAAGGTCACAGTAACTGCAATGCCGATTGCCTCTAGGATTTTGGTCGTTCGGATCCCCTCTGGAGAAAGAAACTCTCATTAAACTCGAATTGGCTGAGTCGTTTTGTCCTGTTAATATTTCCATTTTTTGGGGAAAATAAAAACGAAAATCAGGTAGTTTTTTGTCAGCCACAAAAATTATTATACAAAACAAAATACTGCACATTTTCAGAAGCGAATTTATCTCGCTTACTCAAACTTATCACTGACGATTTTGAACATATCCTTGAAAATCATTAATTTTTTAGGCTCATTGATTTTTGGTTAATTTTCTTTTGTGAACTTTTGCTCAGGCACAACCGATGGGCGAATAACTCAGAAAGGCTTTTTATAAATAATTCTCAACTATTAAAAAACGATTAAAAAGAACACAAAAAACGCAATTCCTTTTAACAACCATCCTATTTGAGAGCAAAAAAAGTATAAACTAATTTCGAAAATTAATTAATCTGTTTGTTACTTAAAGCAGTACTCAAATAGTTTACAAATAAATTTATCTAAGGCAAGTATGATTTAGCATGGGAAATAGAGAGAATATTTAGCAGCATTAGTTTAAACATTAAATCTCAAATTATATTTAGTTGAATTTTATGGAAAAAAATAACGGCGCCCGATTTCGATTAAAACAATTTAACAACACCCTCCTCTAAAATTCTGCATGTTAATATTCTGCATCTTCAGAAACCTCATCCAATTGAAAAATAGATTCGAGAAGAAAAAAGATGTGTGACCAGCTGCAAACTCATAAATGGTTTAGAAACGTCTGGTATGACCAATAATCAAGCTTCCAAAAATTTTTTCTCTTCTAAATATAACGTTTTTTTTTGTAGGTAAGTTTTTTTTAGACTCCGACTTCACACCGCTTCCCGAGCGAAACTCCGAGTGATGCAGTCGGCTGCTCTTCTCGTAGATTTTTTTTGGCCAGTTCCGTTTCCGAGTTGTCCTCGTCTGCCGAGGAGTTTCTTCTCACTATTACTTCATCCGCTACAGTAACTACAATCGATACCAAAACGGTCAGCACTGACAGACAGATTATGACGAAGTCGTGCGTTGACATTCTCTGCTCGCAAAGGTCATTGAGATTCGACAGTTGCTGACCTTCGAACTTTTCAGGTGTCGCACAGACTATAGGGTCCATTTCTATTCCTTCTAGAGTTTTGAGCTTGTTCCAGACCTGTTTGAGTGGACAGTTGCAATGCCAGGGGTTGTTTCCAAGTTTGACCCGAATTGGTTGGGTAGCTTTTGCAGATTTTCCACCATCGCCATAAGCTTGAAAAATTCCATCAAAAACCAGCGAATTTATAAATTTCAACTCGTTATGTTGCAAGTTGACCTCTTGTAAATTTGAACATCCTCGGAAAATTTCGGCGCCCAACGAAAATATCTGATTACTTTCGAGATCAGCTATTTTCAAGCTCTCTTTTTCTGCGAAGGTGGAGTTGTCGATAAATTCAAAGAAGTTGCTCGAAAAATTGGCAAATGTAACTTCGGGAGAAATCTTCGGAAATGTTTTCAGGTTGCTGCCTGAACAGTCTATGGTTAATTGTCCGTTCGGCTTCGGAGAACATGCACAACTTTCGGGACAATCTTCAGCCATGAAAAGTTTGCCGAAAGTGAATAGCAGAAAGAATATTGCTGTCGTATTCATTTTTTCTTAAATATTGAAGACAGAAGTTATTGCAAAATTCTAGCAGTGCGATGCGACGTTTCTTTGAGTTTCTCGATTATCGATTATCTTTTAGTAGTTATGTAAGATGTTATATAACTTGGCAGTAAGAAAAAGCTTGATTTCAAATTTTGTTGTGACAAAATAAAAGAAGTGTGTAAAATAAGTCGCGTTTTTAAGTTGTTATAACCAATTCTTGTTCTTGCAAAACTATTAAATATGCAATGGTTAAAATGGTTAAGAAGAATCGCTCTGATGCATTTTGATTCACGTTATTTTCATAAGACAGATCAAAACTTGAGAGAAGTTGAAAGCAGCATAATAATTTTTGGTTCATAAACAACTGTTGAAGCAGTCAGTAAACAGAAAGCCGAGGTGTGGGAGCATGATTTGGAAGGGCGTTGTTAAAAATCGAAATCCTAGTAATCAGGGGCGGATCTAAGATTTTCTCGAAGGGGGGATTTTCAAAAAATTATTAATCATTTTGTCGACATCATTTTAGGTTGAACAAATTGATTTTCTGAGCTTTCACAAATCGCTAAAAAGACGCTATTTCGACAAAAAAAGGCATTTCTAGACTTATCGGAAAGTTTTTGTTCAAAATTTTGCGTTTTTTTTTGCGCGCGCTCTTAATCAAAATTAGTATATATTGGCGATAAAGGCGCATTTAAAAAAGTTTCAGGGTCAGTCAGCCAAAATGGATATGTCAAAATAGCACAGAGAGAGACCCTTTGTGCCGTCAGGGGACTGAAGCCCTAAAAAAGGGGCGCCCACTCCCCACCCCAAATCTGCTTTTGCTAGTAGCGAAATCCTAGGAAACACCTACGTCTGAGAAACAGCTGACTTTGATACATTCTTTGAATAAGAGAACAAACACGAGCCTTTACACTGGGTTGTTTTGTAAATAGCTTGATTCTATTTTCGAGATAAAGATCGACCAAAATGAGTTACATAAATCTAGCTTATTGAACGATTTTAAAGTATTTAACGAAGGAAGTTTTCGTGACAAATTTTTTGTTTTCTCTGAGACTATCAGTAGCTTAACATTAACCTTAAGCAAAGTTTTTTAAAATGACTTTTTTTTGGCAAATGAGTGTGTTAAAAAAATTTAGACCAAAATGACGCTGGATCATTTTATCATTCTATTTTTATTTTCTGCCATTTTGAGTAACTCACAGAACGTTGTTGATTTCATAGACTAAGCGTTGCTGATTCATTCTAAAACTAATAAAATAAGTAAATTTTCTAATTTTTTCAAGCGTTGTTATGGTTTGTACAATACATTTTTGTCTTCGACCCGTAACTAGTCTATTTATTGTTCCGACTTTCGATACGAAAGTAACGGAATATTTGTGCTCGCGGTGGGTTTTTTTTTCTTCAGACAAATTTCGACTTTTTAACTAGCCATTTTTGACGGAATTTTTTTATATCATTAAGAAAGTATTATTGTCCTGAGCTAAAATTTGAAAAGATATTTCTCCTGTGATCATTTTTCGTAAAGTTATGAGGGTTTAAAGGTTGCCATTTTGGCCATTTTGACCAATTTGGGACAATTAACGCGCGATATAATTCGCGCTATTAACGCGTAAGCGGAGAGTTAATCCGTCTTATAAATCGTTCCAAATTGGTTGAACGAAGCTTATTTGTCATAATTGATGTGTTATAAGGAACAAAAACTATCTTATTTGTACTTTATATGGCGTGTGGGGGATGATTTTCATAAAAAATTTCAAAATTTAGAAAAAAAAATTTTCATTTTTTTTTTCATATAATGTTTTTATGATATTACTGCTGCTCCATAAACCTTCAAAAGCAGTCGGAACATTCAGGGCTTCGCCCTGATACGAGCAGTCTTGTTTTAACTTTGTTTTTGATATCTTTCGGGATGTAAATGTATAGGTAGGCTAGAATGGAACAGTAGTTTGCTATTACCACCGTAACATTCACTGCAAAACTTGTTTCAGTTCTTCTCAACTTTTCATTTTTTCAATAGGAAGAAGGTTGAAATAGATATTCATTGGAAGACAAAATAATTTTTATAAGATCCGTTTAAACTAGTGATAAATCAACATTGTATACTTTGATTTTGTCTCAAATTCTTTTATTCAAAAAACCATTTTCTCAAATTGGGTTGACTTTGGATCAAAAATAACATAAACAAAACTTGCTTAGAATTTCAACAAACAATACTATCAAACATTTTGCTTTGCAAAGTTTGGGCCCAAAAATGTACCTTAAAATGAAAGATTTGTTGGCTTTTTAAGTCCATTGAAAATTACGCCGAAAGTGCCGGGTCGATCACGTACATAAGTATATCAAAGTGAGCCTCTTACCCAGTCTTACAAACTTTAAAAAGGGCATGCTCTCCTTTTAATGTTTTTTAAAAATTTTTTAAATAAAAAGATGGTGTTTTTATAGTAAAAAAAACCTTTTTGTCTATCAAACAAACTCAATTAATTTAATTAATATTCTTAAAGTTTTTAGGCTAGCTAAACGGCACATTTTGGTATAGTTATGTCAACGATCGACTCGAGAGTTTTGGCGTATTTTTGATGGACTAAAAAAGTCAAAAATGATCTACTTCGGCTGAGAACTTTGGGCTCGGATCTCGAAAAACAAAATGAACTATAATATTCTGCTGAAAAACTAAGCAAATTTTGTATTCATCGTTTTTCGACTTAGATCAACCCACTATGAGATCAGCGCATTTCAAATTTCAAGTTTAATTCATTCCGTTTGGATAATTTAAATCATCACTGTACAGTGTAAAGTATTAAGAAAAAAGTAGCGATAAAAATAGTTAGTTAATTCACCATGCAAATTTTCATTGTATCACGACAACACTATATTATTGTTCCGAAATTTTTTTATATCATTCGAAAGGTATTGTTGTCCTGAGCTTAAATTTGAAAAGATATTTTACCTGTGATCATTTTTCGTAAAGTTACGGGGTTTTAAAGATTGCCATTTTGGCCAATTTGGGACAATTAACGCGCGATATAATTCGCGCTATTAACGCGTAAGCGGAGAGTTAATCCGTCTTAGAAATCGTTCCAAATTGGTTGAAAGAAGCTTATTTGCCATAATTGATTTGTTACAAGGAGCGAAATTTATCCTTTTGTACTTAATAAGGCGTGTGGGGGGATGATTTTCATTAAAAAATTCAAATTTTAGAAAAAAAGTTTCATTTTGTTTTATTTCATTTAATTTCTTAAATGTTATTACTGCTCCATAAACATTAAAAAGCGGTCGGAACATTCAGGGTTTCGCCCTGAAACGAGCAGTCTCGTTTTTATTAAACTGAAAATACAAAATGCGGTGAGGGGAGAAGGAGTGGTAATGTTTTGTTTCGTACTTTCACACCCTCCTCCCAACCACCCTTGAATTGTTTCGTATTTTCAACATTTGTACACATTGTATAATTGTCATGAAAATTGGCACGATGGCTGATAATTGAATTACAAGTTAGTTTGGTCTTGATATACAACTTCGTAAAATCAATGGTTGGCCCGTAAATAGATGTTTACATCTGATGGAGGGAAAGTGTAGAAGAGCCCACAGTTTAGCCAAAATGGAGAAAATATAACAAATTTCAAACTATTTTCTCTAATCTCGGGAAAAATGAAATTAATAAAGTTATAATATTTTCATAATTCTATACTTAACGGAAGCTCGATATTCCATGATGGCGAAAAATGAAACGGTGGTTAAAAGTCGGTAACAGTTGAGAGTAATAGTATCTGAAAAAAGAGTTGAAATTAAGTACTTTCTACTGGTGTCGTCTAAAAACGTTGCAGTTGAAGTTATTCAAAAACAAAACGGTATATGCCAAGTTGTAGCTTTATTTTGCCTCAAAATTTTCTGGAAAAACCATATAATTCTGTAAAATGTAGGGTATCTTCCGTGCTTTTTCATCTGAATCATTTTCAATATCTAATGCATTGATCGCCATAGGAGTAGATTTGCAATAAAAAAAAATCTGTGGTACTTTTAAAGCACATTTTCCATTATATTTTTGGTTTTTATGGCAAAAATTAAATTCCATAGCGTTGCAAAAAATCCACGTGCGTTTGTTGAAAAAACGTAATACTTTTTTACTCATGATGCAGATCGTACATTTCTTCATGCTATTTCTTTTGTATGCACAAATTGAGCTCTTATGAATTATTTGTGTGACTTACTTTTGGTCGATTTTTGGCGCATATACCGCATAAACTGTTTAAAAGCTAGAAGCATATCGAGTCCTTAAAATTATGAGTAACAATAATAAACAGCTGCCAAGCTTTAACACCAGCACCAAACCAGCATCAATGGCGCTCAAAACTCAAGGAAAAACACTCCGGGACACCCGTAAACAAACAAACAAATTGGAACAGGAGAGCAAAAACATGGAGGAACGATTGAATGACCTCAAGATGCTTCTAAACAGAGATCGAATGGAACGTAGTACCAATGCGGCATCGGCTAATGCAAACATCTGGGGAAGTAGCACGGCATCATCTCATTCCGGAACTCACAGACAACCGGCCGCAGGCGTTGCTGGAACCGCTGGATCATCAGGAGTTATGAGTCTCGCATCCGCGCCGGTGTCGAAGAGCAAGTCGACTCAACAGAAAGAAAATATGTTTCCGAAGAGAGTTAAAGTTTTGAAAGATATTCCAATTAGCGAGCCTCCAAAGGGCCCCGATCAAATCATGGCCTTTGCAAAAATGATGGATCGGAAACCTCTGAGTGGAAATTATGCACAGAGAAGTTCCACAGAAAACAACCCAATGTGCCCCAGCTGTTCGAAAAAACACGTGACTGTGATATGTACTGAATGTCAAGACTATTTCTGCAGTATGTGTTTCGCCAAAGGTCATTTGAAAGGCGAGGCGAAAAAGCACAAGTCGATACCGTACGATGAAAATAAAGTACCTGAAAACTTAAGACAGTCTCTGGATGCTTACGGCGATGTCTCCAACTTCACAAAAGACGGAATTAAATTTCAAAATGTCGAATACTCAAACGAAAGTTCTTCTCAGAAATTTCCAAAAAATGAGCCAAAAAATTTCGAAATGTACGACGAGGAAGCTTCCGCGGCATCTTTCCAGGAAGCTTTGAAAGAGTGGCGCCAAGCGGGCTCGGCAACTAGCCAAAAATCAACTAACGGACTCGTTTCGACAGCATCGAATGGTATAACGACAAGCAAAATATCGAATAAAAGCAACGTGCCGAAAAAGTCTGTCCCAAAGCAGAGCAAAGCAATTGGAGCTGACAATACACTTGAGCTGAAAACTTCAGACGATGTAATAGCCGAGTTCCAATTCAAAGAAGACTCGTCATTGACCTATGCCGAAAAGCTCCTTCTGAAAAAGTCATTTACTGGCAATGGAAGGAACGAGAGCTTCTCGTCAAGAAATGGAAGCCGTATGACCGACACTGGAGCTGAAGTAGCGCGGGAGGACGAAGAGTTAAACGTGGAAATATCTGAAGTTCGCGAAAATATAAACCGATATTTTTCACCGCGAAACACGGAGCAAAAAAGGAATGTTCTAGAAGAAATAGAAATAACGGAAGTTTTCGATGAGGACGATAGTTTGAACGGCCCAAATGAAACTACACTTTGTAGCGTTATGGAACCAGATTTTGAGTTAAATTACGGATCTCAACTGAACAATATGCTAATAGAGCATCAAAAGCCAAAAAGCATAGAAGAGTTAAAAGCAAGGCCACACAACAGTGCAAAACCACCAGAAAAGAAAATAACCTTACAAAACTCCAAAAAATCTGAAAACGATGCCCCAAAGAGAGCAAAAACGCCAGCATCTAGCAATCAGCCGAACAATTCCAAGTCGAAAACCCCCAGAACGCCGAAAACTCCAACAAGGACATCAAAACAAAAGTCAAATTACAAACAGGAAGCAAATACATCAGAAATGTCTAGGCCTACCTCGGCCATGAGTTTGACCAGAGAGCCCACAATTAAACTGGCCGAAATAGCTAAACTGCCAAAAAGTGGAATTATTGTCCCCACAGCGGATGTAAGTAGTTTGTTCATGGTAGGCGTGGAGCAGGGAGGCATTGTAAACAAAACTGAAAAGGATCATTTTACTCGAAATGATAGTAATATTAACACATCGACTTTGATTACTATACGCAAATCAAAAGCCCCGTGGAGACCTGGTTCTAGCCTTCAAGATAAACAGGAGGAATCTTCAAAGACAACCGCAGATGCTAGTCAGCAAAATGAACTCAGAGAACCGGAAGGTTTCCAGGAATTTGAAAATGAAATCATGCTACTCGAAAATATGGGCCGCGAATCCACACGTAACAAAACGGCATCCAGTCTTGGCACAAAACAATCAAAAATGAGAAGTGCGAAAATTTTGGAAGCCGAAAAAAGTAATGAGAAACTGGGTGCACAGGGGCTTCAAACGTCAATTGCTCTTGGGGAAGCTTCAGACGATGACGACGATGAAAAGACTTTAGACGACCTTGAGTACGAACTAGCTTGCAACACTGGGCGTCTCAATGAAGACGGAAGCCGAATGGATAGAATAACTCAAGATCTTCAGGGTATTTTGAATGACCTTGAGGTGACCTCAAACGATATCGAAGACGAAGATGATCTCAATCGGACAATAATAAATGAAGATGATGAGAATGATTTGAAGTTCACGCTTTCGATAAATGAAGAAATGGAAAAAAATTACGCAAGTGATGAAGACGACGATGAAGATGACATGAAATCAGTCCGCAACTTATAAGCGTCCTTTATAAGTCTTAATTGTTTACCTTAGAAATTCTGTTTAACCTTTAATTCATGTATTGAAATCTAAAATAAGCTTTCACCGAAATTCAGCATCAGACTCTTGAGAAACCACGCATTCATTTGTCAGACAAAAACTCAAATGCAATCAAAAACACGCAAAAATAACAAGCAAAATGATCTCAGGCTAGTAAACAAAAACACGACCAGCATAATTTTTCAGGGCCAAATATTCAAGCAAAAATATCTCAGGCTAATTAACAAAAACAGGACCAGCATTATTTTTCAGGCCAGAGCTTCTATATAAAAAGTAGAAAGTTCCAATGCGAGAAATTAGATTTGTTGTAAAAGTTATGCATTTCAATTATCATGATTAGGTTTTTTTTTCACGCCAAACATCGCAAAGGAAAAAACCCGAAAAGCATAAGTTCTAAACTTTTATAGCCATTCATTCTTTTCAAACTTTCTTTGAGATGTCTTTACTTGCGATAATTGATTGTCAAAACATGACCAAATTTGGCTGAGAGAAAATCAAAATATAGTAGGTCAAACCCAATCGATACATAGGTCAAGCATTGCCGAAACATAGTTCAAAATATGGCCAATAAATAGGTCTAAGACAGTCAAAAACTTTTCGCATTTCTCCAATTTCTCTCAGTCTGATTTTCTCAGAACTTTTTTCACGAAAACCTATTTATTTTCGAACTCAACCATATGGTTGAATGGATTGAAACTCTTCTACAAAAGCAAATGGTGCTTCTGAGAGCAGCTAAAAAGAAGAGAGCTGTTTCTTTTCGATTATGCTCAATGTTCCTTCATGATCACATATTCCTAGATTCCTAAAATTCCTAAAATTGCTAAAATGATCACATATAGTTTTCTAATTAAGTATGACTCCTTGTATGGAGTTCGATGTACAGAAATCAAACATTTGGAACATATTGGCAGTCTCATTTTCGGGAAAATCAAATCTGAAATAAATTACTGTTCTTTAACAAGTTTTCAACATTTTAAAAAAAATTTCGTCTGGAAGTTTGAATTCTTTTTCTTCAATTACTGTTGTCGAACACTCTGTTTTACTTGCACAGACTATTCTTGCTTTGCAGTTGAATCTATTGGATATTTTGTCTATTGTTCATTTCAGCACTTACAGCTTGTAAGGAATTGTGAAGGAACAGTGCCCTAGTCGATCAAGGGAGGCACTCTCCAAATACGAACTTGCTAATGGCGCGAATTTTCATGAACGATTTGTAGTTTGAAAAATGGAAGTTAATTGTTAGATTTCTGTTGGAATAAAAATTTAGCCTGTTGATTCAGTTTTCTCAAGTTGGGTTAATGTTATCAACAAAGCTCTAATCATAAATCGTTCCAGAAACTCAAGGAGCTTAAAAGGCTTCAATTTTTTTCTTTGAAATTCGAAAGTTGGGATTTTTTCAATTTGCAAGAGAGTGGAAGTTCATATTTCTGTCATTTTTTAAATTGTTTTCAGACCGAATTTTCGGTATGGTTGTCTCTGAATTTTTGGTATAAATTCTTGCAAGATAACCTCCATCTTGCAAGATCTTAGAGCCTTATAAAAGTTTCTTACATCATAATTTTAAAGCCTTAGAAAAGTACTGTCAGTATGGGTGAAAATTTGCTGTGAGTTTTTTGGTTTTTCAGACTAAATTTAGTTTTTAGTGGCTATTTTTATTTTGTATGGGAACCACGCCAATTTGTTTTGTATGGAACCATTTTTAGTAACTTATGGAGTAACGCATTTTGTATGTGGACCAAATATCTCTTTTGTTTTCAAGATACTTTCCTTAATAAGTTGAGCAAAAGTTCAGCTCAAACAAAGAAACGCTTAAACTTTACAGAAAAAAATCTAACTTACAGAGTTGAAACAGTGGCGCATGCTGCTTTTTTCTACGGGATTTTTTCAACCACAAATAAAGCTTCAAAGATTTTGTTTCGGTATTTTTTCTGGTTAAAATGAAAAAAACTGCAAGTAGGATGGGGTAGAATGAGCATCAAGCACGAACGGACTCTGTCGTTTTCCGCACTAAAGCCTTTTCAGTTGTGATTTGAGAGACATTGAAAAATTCTGAAAAAAAAATCTTCTTCGTGTCGAGAAAAACCAGTTCGAAATATTTATGACTTTTGGTCTAATTTCAAGCTAATAAGGCTTAGCAAGCTTACAAAAACTAATTTATAATTAGTTTTTGGAGTCTTTCATCGCCAATCTGGGAATCAAAATTTCAGAATTCAAAAACAATCTGAAAAAAAAAAACTGTTTTACAATTGTCTTATTTTACTATGAATATCGAATATGTTTAAATAATTTTTCATCAAATCTAATTACACATCATCATTATATTTAATACAAGAAAAACAAGAAAAATTAGTTTTAAGCAAATTAACATAGTTTTTGAAGTTTTTCTGCGAAAAAAAAAATACTTTTATTAAACTTGAATTTGAAAAAAAAATTTTTGTTTTGGTATTTCAGGTCATTTCTCTTCAAATTTTTTTTCCAGTTTGCCTATGTTACTATGACTGCCGAATATGCCCTAAATTATACTTTTGTGTCAGATCCTTTTATCACACCACAAAGGAAAAAACTACACTAATTTAAAAGAAAAACACTTTTTATGTAGTTTTTTCAGGTTACTACGGTTGGCACATTTTATGCTATTTGCACAGTAACCGGCTATCCTTGTTGGAGTTTGCTTACGTTAGGCTTTTTAATTAGTCAAATTTTTGATTGATAATTTCAATAATTGCATTAATTAATATAATATTCAATTCTATCATAATTTTATCGCTGTGACGTTAAAGAGCAGTTGTGTGCTAATTAACATTGGTAATTATGATGGGAAGCAGGGGCGAATCTAGGATTTTCTCGAGAGGGAGCGGATTTTCAAAAAAATTCGAAAATTTTGTCGACCTTTTTTTTAGATCGACCAAATTGATTTTACGAGCTCTGCCAAAGCACCAAAAAGACCGTTTTGGCCAGATTGTCTGCGCCGGAGTTAAAATTTTGAAAAAACAAGCCAAATCGCGTTTTTTCGGCGCTCTCTCCCCCAAAATTAGTATATATTGGCGCAAGAGGTGCCTTTAGAAAAGTTTTAGGGTACGTCACCAAAATAAATATCTCAAAATAGTACAAAGCGGGGACCCTTTGGGTCGGCAGGTGGTCGAGTCCCTGAAGGAAAGAAAGTGTCCACCCGACCCCCCGCCCCCTCCTCCCGAAATCCGCCCCTTATGGGAAATCTGTTTTCCAATTTATTGCTACATAGCCCTTAGAAATCCATATGGGATGAAAACATTTGTTATTTTTTGTATGTTTTACGCCTCCTCTTCTCCGCCATCTTCTCCCTCGAACTCCCCCTCCTCCTCTGCAGTGGCATCCTGGTACTGCTGGTACTCGGACACTAGATCATTCATGTTGCTCTCAGCTTCAGTGAACTCCATCTCGTCCATTCCTTCTCCAGTATACCAATGCAAGAAAGCCTTTCGTCTGAACATGGCTGTGAATTGCTCACTGATTCGCTTGAACAGCTCTTGAATTGCAGTGCTGTTTCCAATGAAAGTCGCCGACATCTTCAAACCCCTAGGCGGGATGTCACAGACTGCAGTCTTGACGTTATTCGGGATCCACTCGACAAAGTAACTGCTGTTTTTGTTCTGCACATTCAACATTTGTTCATCGACTTCTTTCATGGACATTCTACCTCTAAACATGGCAGCGACTGTCAGGTATCTGCCGTGTCTGGGATCACAAGCGGCCATCATGTTTTTAGCGTCAAACATCTGCTGTGTCAGCTCGGGTACGCTCAGAGCGCGGTACTGCTGACTTCCTCGAGATGTCAAAGGTGCAAATCCGGGCATGAAAAAGTGCAGCCGTGGAAACGGAACCATGTTTACAGCTAGTTTCCTCAAATCCGCATTGAGTTGACCTGGGAACCTGAGACAGGTTGTCACTCCCGACATAGTTGCCGAGACCAAGTGATTCAAATCACCATACGTGGGAGTGGTCAGCTTTAGGGTCCTAAAGCAGATGTCATACAGTGCCTCATTGTCAATGCAGAAAGTCTCGTCGGTATTTTCGACCAGCTGATGCACCGACAAGGTTGCGTTATAGGGTTCCACGACAGTATCGGACACCTTTGGCGATGGGACAACAGAGAAAGTATTCATGATTCTGTCAGGGTACTCCTCTCGTATCTTGGAGATGAGAAGAGTTCCCATTCCGGATCCGGTACCTCCCCCTAGCGAGTGGGTGAGTTGGAATCCCTGAAGACAGTCACAGCTCTCGGCTTCCTTTCGAACGACGTCTAGCACGGAATCAACGAGCTCGGCTCCTTCAGTGTAATGACCTTTGGCCCAGTTGTTTCCAGCACCTGATTGGCCTAAAGCAAGCAAGAACTCTTGTTCAATTTAATTTAATTGTTTTTATTTTAATGCTTGCCGGAGCCAAAAAAAGTATTGTCAATTTTCAACGAAAATCTTTTAATTTTGTGTATACTTCTCACCAAAAACAAAATTATCCGGTCTGAAGATTTGGCCGAAGGGTCCGGACCTGACGGAGTCCATGGTGCCTGGTTCCAGGTCTACCAGAACAGCTCGAGGTACATATTTGCCCCCGGTTGCTTCGTTGTAGTAGACATTAATTCTCTCTAACTGGAGATCGGAGTCTCCCTGGTAGGTGCCAGTTGGATCGATGCCGTGCTCGTCCGATATTACTTCCCAGAACTAGAAGAAAAAAAATTTAAAAAATTTGCAGGTTATACACCTTTCCCCTAATTTTTTTAGTATTGAGGTAGCGATGTAACAAAGTGATGAACGCATCTCCGAGTTAAAAAATATCCCAATTTCAGCCTAGATAACTAAAGCAAAAGACTCACCTTGGCTCCAATTTGATTGCCGCATTGACCGGCCTGCAAGTGAACAATTTCCCTCATTTTGATCGTTTAAATTTCAAGTCGAACAAACCAAATCTGAAAACAGCAAACATAGAATGAGGAATTCCGTTTTATTTAATAATTAAAAAGAAAATCTGTCAAGACAAATCAGCGATTCAATAATTGATTACGGTTGCCAAGACAAAAATGCTGATTCCTCAAAATTACCTGGCAAATTTGAATACAATTTGCAAACAATAAATGAGAGAAGAGACAAGATTAATTGCTCAAAATAAGTGATTTTGCCACAGAAAATAAATGATTAAGGAAAAATGGATCCAGTTTGTACCCAAAGCATAACAAAATGAGCTAAAAAAATGTTAACACACTTTTGCCTGGTGTTTATTTACCAGAAAAAAATATTTGCTACAATAAAACAGGCCATGTAATATGATGTTGCGAGTGAAAACTGACCACATATTGCAAGCATGTGGTCAACGCAGGAAATAAACATTTTTCAACTGTCACTATTTCTGCAGTTTTCCAGTGATTTAGTTTGCTCATTTTATGAAGTGACTCATTTTTTGAAGCAAGTTAGCATCCATTTTGTTGCTACCATAATGATACCGTATCACAAGACTAAAAGTGAGAAAAAGTTTTAAAAAAGAATAGCCGTTGTTGTGCAAGAAGCACAGAAAAATTGACCAAAACAATAAAAACGTATATACATTTTTTTTCAAATTGTGTCGTTTTTTTGTTCGTGGTGTAACAAAAAGATCTGAACGAACCTCTAAAACTTAGACATAGTTAGTAGAATTGTAATTTAGGTAGTTTCGAAAACCGTTTTCCTCAAAAAAGGGTAGAAATCAGGGGCGGATTTGGGGACGGGGGGACGCTTTTTCTCAGGGATTCGACCCCCTGCCGAACCAAAGGGTCCTCCCTTTGAACGAATTTGAGATATCCATTTTTGGCTGACGGACTATAAATATTTTCTAAAGGAGCCTTCGGCGCCAATATATATTAATTTTAAGGGGGGAGTGCAAAAAACGCCATTTTTTGATAATGTAAATTTTTTTTAATAAAAGCGACCGAAAAACGCATTTTTTTTGATAAAAATTTTCCAAAAAGGCCTAAAAACAATGAAGCGCGGTGATCGAACATGGCGTCTACTTGTTTCCACGCTGATGTGCTATCTTAATTGAGTTTTGAAAATACCAAAACTGCTGGTCTAAAACTTTTTCATTTTCTTAAGTATATTTTAAGAAAGGATAAAATTTTTTTTGTTGTTTTCATTGTTTTAATTTTCAAAGAAAGTTAGAAAGATATATGCAAGAGATATATAATTTCAGCATAATTTTACAAAGAAATTGTTGGACAATCCTTAAGTCTTTGCATGCTTGCACTAGTCTAACTGCATTTAGAAGGAAGTTTCACCTTTTTTATGATGGTTTCAAATTGCGAATTGTTTATTCGTGGAAGTTAATCGCGCACTCATTATTGTTCTAAATGAAACTGGGGCCAGTTCAAACTGTTATATTAATTCCTTCCGCATATGGTTCAAAGTTTCGTATAAAATATTTGATATTGCCTCTCCAAAATTATAGTGGGTCGAAATTTCACTTAAAAAGTAAAACTAGTTACAGGGCAGTCGGAACACTCAGGGCTTTGTCCCGATCAATAAGCATTGTTGAATGTTCAAAAACTCAAAAAATTGATATTTGGCTAGCTTATACAGGCGATAATATAATACGTTTGTCGACAAATTTTCATGGATGCTAAGCTTACATCTGACGACTCTGAAAAAAACAGCTATCAAGCCGGCCAATATGATGATAAAAATAATATTAATACGCTGACAGCCTTCTGTTTTGGCTCAAACTTTGAGGTTGCAAAAGTTCTCTGAAAATACCAGACAGAAAATTTTCTTTTTCCAAAAAGGGAACAGATTCGATCTTTTTTATTATTGTCATCTTTCACGTCAATCTGTGGTTCTGATACTTTTTTCTTTTGTTATGATTTTAGGATTTTCATATGTTAAAGACACGTTTTCAACCCAAATTTGAAGCTTCTCAATATGTTACAATCACAAGCTTCATTATTTTTTCAATTGGAACAATAGAACTTTAAAACACCAAAGAACAAAAACCTAAAGAATCATATTAAGTCAGAAAAACTCTTCTTTAATTTTTCAATTGAACTGATAATTTTGATAATCTTGCCTAGAATTGAAAACTTTTGAAGACTTTTTTGAAGTTAGCAATGATATTAGTCTTTTGTTGTGCAAGTTTTCTTGCAGTAATTGTTTCAGCAGGGGTGAGTTTGTCCAATAAACTTAAACTTTTGCTCCTATTGCCCAATCAGTGTAGATCAACTATCTGCTTACACATCAGCTTTAACATTAACGAGGCTAAACTGTGCATTGGATAATCGCACAATGTTGTGTCTCTGTGTTACTAGACTCCAAAAACAAATCTTTAAACATGTTAAAATTTTGTCGCAACGAACGACGAAAAAGAAAGATGAAAATAAGAACAAAAAAAGCGTCCTTGATGCGAAATCTGCTTAGGATTTACAAAATACAGCATTAAAAGGAACAGTAAACAAAAAAGCCCACATCAAAATTTTTATTTCATCTTGCTTTTTTCAGTTCGTCATTT